TCCTTCGTGAGTCGATGCAAGAGGGATGCAAGTGGCCAGGTCGTGCGGGCCACGGTGGACTAGGGAAGACGATACGATCATCGAAGTGGGACTTGTGTTGGTGTCGTGGAACCAGAACCTGAATAACAGATGGGGGCAGTCAGCGAGGCAAAAAAGATCAAAGAAATTCAGAAGTCGAGGAATGGAGAAGGATATGAATGAGTAACTAAGGCAAGTGCGATGACTTACCAAAGGAGATATGGCGTTATCCCTACTGTAAGATTGTAATCACTGGTAAAGGATAGCAAAGGGAGTGGAACGAACCTTGGACTCTTTCGGCATCTCCTCTCCTCGAAGTCCGCTACGTATCGTCTTGCGCCTCATCACTAGTGGGTTACCTAGCCTAACGGCGTGTTCGAATTGCCGTCCGAACACTGTTTGCTGCTCGTTTGTAAGTTGTTCTGGTAGTACATAATCGAGCGCCAAAGGATGAACAACTTGAACAGAATCAGTACGTGTCATTGATATGCACCAAATCCAAGTACTCACCAGCTTCCCAATGGAACCAAGACGCAATCCCATACTTGTCCCCCCCGGGCCCCTTGAGCTACCACCGAAGCCGAAAATTTCTTCCTATACAACTAGGAGATGTTCTCCAGGTCCAGAGGGTCTTGCAATTGCTGTCCCTATTTTCGACAGGGTTGACCGCGAGTTTTTTAGCTGATAGTTAAAAGGAGTTTTTGAGAGGCTTTAGAAGTAGCTCTTCGACTAGTTTTGTGAGTCTGCCAAGAAAGGCGGGTCTGGTATGGCGTTGATGTTTGCCTGCCAGTGTGATCATCATGATGCTCGTTAGATCCATATCATAGTTGCACAAACTGACTTCGTTACCCTTTTGACCTCGTTCTCAAGCAAGTACATGGCCACGATGGGCTACAAATGCCAATGGCAAAGATTGACTTTAAATGCTATGACGTTTCCAAGTGCGCGCGCAGGCCGATGCAACTTGGGGATGTACATCGTGCAAGTCCGCGATGCCCTTGATCACTACTTGCGGATTAACAATCTCCTTGTGAAGTCCATCAATTGCTCGAGTGGCAACCCAATAGTATCAAAGTCGGCTACGAGACGTCGAAGTTGCGCATCCGTAGTTCGGGAAAGGTCCCATAAGGCATGAAGGGCTGGCTTGTGCCCCTGCGTTGTGGCCGTAAAATAGACCAAGAATGTGAGGTGGGACTGCAGCGGCGTAATGTGTGAAAGTATTGCAGAGGTTAGATTGTTGCCGCCATCGTTGACTTTACTTAGGGAATGCAAGTAGAAGGGGGTGGACCTCGCGCTTGATCTTGCAGGAGAGGGACTGCGTAAGTGGCAGGACTCTGATGAGGTCGATACATATGTCTCTCCTTCTGAGACCCAGCTGTCTGTACACTCGTTAGCTACCGCCTTGATGGGAACAAAGAGAAGCCATACTCAATAAGTCTAATAAAAGGTCAACCCATGAATCAAAAAGCCTTTGACCGGCTCACGTTAATAAATTTCTCAAAGACGACGCCTGTGAGCGCTCTTGCGAGCATCGTCGTCACTGATCTTCACCAACGAACATCGAAGACCACGGCAAACTTCAGCCTCCTAGCACAGTTCACCGGTAAGGCCTCAGCCCGATTAGAACCTTCACCAAAAACCGGCTGTAGCCTCACTCCGGCAATGGGACATCATTCGCGATATATTCGAGAGAAGGCATCGCTTGGATATGAGAAAAGAAAACGAGTGCAGCTGCTACACCGTAGATTGTGTCGTGAAAGGTGGTTCAGAAGTGGCGTAGCGGAAAGAGCACACCTTTTCCGTTAGATGGGAAGAAGCTTTCTTGGGCATTGAGAAAGCAAACATACGTCGAATCTTGGACCAGAGAGCATGCAGAGCTACAGGTCAACGTGCTTGGGAGCTTGCATCCGATGTCTTCAAGGGAAACGACTGACAAGGTTCTGGCATGACGAAGGCAGAGGTATCGGAGGACGATGAAATGAGTCAACGATACAGTGATTAAGGTTCAAGAACGACTGCCATACTGCATTAGTAGGGTATCGCGGACGATGCAGCGTGTGTGGGAGAAGGAGAGATGGGCTGGAGTGAATTGCGGTAGGAGAGAGTTGTGGGTGCGGTCTGTGCAGTGTGGTCGTCTTCTGACATCTCCTGTGCCACCAACAAAGAAAACTCCAACCCTCGCCGCGCCTCTTCGTTCACGAATCGCGACGGTCGTTATGTAAGGAGCTCCGATCCAACGCATCGACATCAGTTTTGAGGTGACAAGTTGTTTTCCTGTCACGAAATTTAGCAGTCCTTCTTGCCCTCGTAATCTAGCGTCAAGCCTTTTCACATCACATTGAGCATCCTCATCATCGACATCCGCACATCTCCCACTCCTGAACTCTTGCGTCGCCTCAACTCAAGACCCTAGAGGCAACCACGCCTCGCAAAGTCTACCTGTAATGAAAAATTGTCCTGGAACCACACTCACTGGCAGTCTTTTGATGCCACAGAAAGCACTAGAATTGCGGTTTATCGAGGCCGATATCAGGGAAGAATTGCTGGGTACGCATCTCTGTGCTCTATTCATATCGATCCTGACGAGAGCTCATGGAAGAATAGATTGCATTTTCCTTTCAAATGTTAGCGGAGTCGACTGGCGGGCTTCCCTTCTCTCTAGGCCCCGCACTTATCCCCGGAAAGGACTCTCACAAATGATTCAAACCCGCCTTCAGACACCGTTTTCAAGTGAAAGACTCACTGTTTGCAATATGTCCAGACGAAGGAAAGGTGATGGCATTGCAGCTTGTTGGGTTCGGCCAAATGTTCTTTTAAATTTGGCAGTATCACTGGTGAGAAACACAATTTCTTTTCATCTGGGGCTGCGTGCTAATTACCTCTTTTGTAGCCTCCGTCTGATTCTCAACTGTCCAAAGTTGACTTTACCCGTCTTCATGATAATCAAGAAGCTTCACCTGGGGTGGGTGTTCCCAAAACACGCACTCAATGAGATGTTAGTGATTTTGGAATTGGCGTATCTACGGGTTTCCATCACTACCTTTGAAACCTTTTCGGCCCAGCGGGCTATGGGGCAGATAAAAAGCTTGATCATTGGAGGCTGCTTGTCTTGTGTGTCCTTCATGTTCATGGTCTACACACTCTAATGCTCGTTTCGAAAGCCTGCCAGGGAGTCACCCTCTCAGAATACACATTCCCATATCTCACTCGCCTGGCGAGATTCACAGAAGAAAGATCTGCGTCAATTCGTCTATGCGCCCGTATTGGATGGGACCATTTCGACATCTGGAGGCCACTTGTAAGCACGGTTCTGGGATGATTCTATGAAGTGTCATTCTGTCGTTCTTATTCAGCTCATGTACGCCGGTACCCGGGATCTTTTCCGATGGACTGTCCGAGGAAAGACGGATGCTTCTGGGTGGCCTTTGTCGTACCTTACGGTATGTCAGCATTGTAAGTTTTTCTCATCTCGTTCTTGGATTCATTGGCTCTCTAACCTGTATGGTTGCTTGACCTACTCAGTTATCTGCAAAGCCGGAACCCCCCATTGCCTGCGGCCCCTTGCGTGATAAGCACCCTCGTTGGCCCTACAAGAGTTGGTTATCTCCTTTTGGCCACCATTTCAGAACAGGCGTCCTCAATTGATTAAAAACTCGTTGTTCTCGGCTGCGATAGCGACCTGAGACTTGAAGCCCATCTTGAATCCTGATACATTGCAACTATAGTTAGTTCTCTCGCCTCTTCCCATCTACCCCCGTAACTATAACCACTTTAGGCCAGCTTGTGGATCAAGTCGCTACGGATCGAAATCAAAATGCCACATCTATCTTTGGAGCTCAAATTGGTAAAGCTAACGAATCCTAGGAAATCCGAGGCTGCCTCATCGGAGCGGGGACTAGTTGCAGAAGTAGCTGGACGTGGAGCGCGGGCGGTGAGCAGCGTCCGATCCTTGTCGTCGTAGTCGACTTCGACTGTGGCTGGTGGTGTAAGCGGTAGCAAGGTC